TTTGAGAAAGAAAGCATATAAATTTTTTGAGCAAGGCAAATTTCTCAAAGCATCAGAACTATCTAAGAAAATTCTTGAAAACAGCCAGCATAGTCCTGAAGATCAGGAATCTATTTCCCAAATGCGGATCTGAAAATTTTGTTAACAATGTCACTTCGCAAAAACATCACACCGAATTTATTCGATTTTAGTTCAAATGAACTTGGACAATTTGAAGAAAAAGTATTAGCAAATAAGAACACCACGCTAAAAGATTTAAATCTTACTAGTAATGATCTTGAATCAGGAAGAGAAAAAGTATTACAGTTGCACTTTGCAAGAACAACATTCTGATTTCTTTGAATCTTGACTTGAATGAACTTAATCAAAATAAAAAAAAGCATTAGAAAACCATATTGAAAATTTTAAAACTTACTGGTAATAATCTCAGATCAAAAGGAGAAAAAGTGTTAACAAGTGCATTTTATATATTAGTTTCTTTGAATCTTGAAAGTAGCAACCTTAGATTATAAGGAGAAAAGTCATTAACAGATACACTTTGTAATAATTCTTGCTAACTTTTTTGAATCTTCGATCTAATAATCTTATTGTAGAGTTATGATGTTATTATATGATAAAACTGGCACAAAATTTTTCTTGCCTTTTTTTTTTTTAATTTTGATATTATTATTTAGGAGCATGTCAAATTCTTTTAGAACTTGATAAAAAAAAAATGACAACTGCAAGAGAAACTGCAATCGAATTTCACACCAAAAGAATTTCCCTTGCCAATATTAAACTGGAAATTCTTAATGAGATCTATAAATTTCCTTTTACTACTCAGAAACTTATTACAGAAGAAGTACATGCTGTTGCAAAAAGACTAGAAAAAGGAAAGTACTTACCAAACCTTGCAAGTGCAAAATGCTTGTGCAGATTCTTCAATTGGTATATGTTATCATGTCACCATATTTTTCATAAACAACTTTGTGGTGCCAATATTTTAACGCCAAAAGCTTGGGTCAACTTTCAAAGAACTTTCGAAGAGAGTGGCATGGAGGTATATTAAACCCGTAGTATTGTGGAGGTACCTGTCATTCGGATATCTGCAGCAGATAAAGCAGTCAAAAAAAGCCAATTAAAAATAAATGAATTATTTAAAAGAACCCGAGACTGCTACTACAGATTGGTGAAGAAAAGCACAAATAAAGCATCACAATTCATAGGTAATTTGAAAAAAATATTAGAGCTGGCGATCAATTAAAATTTTTGTAGGTAAAAAAAAAATAAAAATAAAAAAAAATAAAAAAAAAAATAAAAAAAATAAAAAAAATAAAAGAAAAAAAGAAAAAGAAAAAAAAGAGGTTATTGTTCTAGAATGGAATGAGTTAGAAGGATAAGCGCAAAGCATTTATTCATTATAGGTGGTCTTCTGAGACTGAATGAGGGTTGAAAAAGATAGTGCATTTACTCAAAAAAAATATGCTAGAACAATCAAATGTACTGTAATAAATAGTGTACATGCATACAAAGCTAGATTGTAATTTTTTTTTTTTTTATTCAAAAAAAATTTTTTTCAAGCAATTTTAAGATTAATGTTTAATAAAAACCTACAAATATTAAAGTTTTTCTTAAGTCTGCTTATAAATAGTTTACTTTAAATGCTTAATTAATAAATTTTCTTTATACTCGTGCACAAATTAATATAAAAAAAGAAAATTAAATATTAATTATTCATAAACTGAACAACTTATTTAAACACTTAGACTAATAAATTTTTTTGTATTTATATACTGAATTAAAGGAATTAAATTGTGAATATTCATGAACCTGAATAGCTGATTAAATTAGTAAATTTTCTTAACATTTATGCACCAAACCAACATGAATAAAATTAAATTATTTTTTTTTAAATTATGCATTAAATTAACCCAGTGTAAAGTTCTCACAAAGTGCATTGTTAATGCTTTCCTCTTCTGATCCAATATTATTATTATAAATATCTAGAGAATTGTGGTAATCTTGCAAAGTGTAAAAGTCCATTTGAATGAAGATCTAAAGAAGTTAGTGTGATTTTCTTGCAAAGTGCATATGCTATTGCTTCTCTCTTCTAAGATAATTGCTCTAAAGATCTAAATTTTTTAGTGTAGTATTCTTGCAAAGCACATCTACCATTGTGTATTCTTTGCTTAATCAAGGATTATTAGATCGAGAATTCAAAGATGTTAATGTGATGCTACAACAAAGTGCATCTGCTAATGTTTTTCCTTCTGTCCCAAGGTTATTACTTTCAAGATTCAAAGAAACTAGTGTGATGTCCTTGCAAAGTGCATCTGCCAATGTTTTACCTCTTCTGATCTAAATTTATTCTTTTGAAGATTCAAAGAAGTCAGTATAAAGTTCTTGCAAAGTTCATCTGCTAATGCTTTTCTCAAGTTTATTACTATAAAGATCTGAAGAAGTGAATGTAAAATACTTACAATGCATATCTGCTAATGCTTTTCTGCCTTCTAATCCAAGATTATTCTGACCAAGGTTCAAAGAAGTCAGCATAGAATTCTTGCTAAGTGCATTTGCTAATGTTTTTCTTTCTTCTAATTCAAGATTATTATAGTAATCTTTCATACTTATGCACTAAATAAATACAAACAAATAAAATTGAATATTCAATAGTCATAAATAGCTAAACTCTTTGTATTTAAGCATCAAATTAACCTGAATAGCTTATTATAAATATTTAGATTAAAAAAATTTTTTATACTTACACAACAAATTAATACAAGCACAAGGAAACTAATATTCATAAACTTGAGTAACTTCTTTTAATCACTTAAATTAATAAAATTCTTTTGTATAACTTATTTTAGACAATTGATTAATTAATTCTCTTATATGTACGCAGTAAATTACAGAATTAACAGATAAAAGAAAAATAAATAATAAATTCTCTATAAATTAAACAAAATTAAAAAAAAAAGCATTCTCACATGGCCATGGCAATGCGATTTTTTTTTGTTCACCTGTTTGCTATTTGTTGTGAGTTCTTTTAATAACCAAAAGTTGTTTGTTTGCTGCTTGTAGCAGGATTTAGCTAGAACTTGTTCCTTTTTTTTCAAATGTGCAAAGTTTGATACATTTAAAATTTGTTACGCTTGATTGGCTGTGGTCATTAAATGATCAATTGACCTGACTGTCCCCCCAGACCGTCAATTTAATTGTTATTCCACTTTAGCAGACCCCCTAATATAATGTCTTTTCTATAATCCTCTATTAAAAAAGATACAAAAAGATAAAAGGTTAGACTATATAGTAGAACAAGAGGTTAAAGAGAGAATACACTGTAACAACATTACAAGCTACTACTAAGTAGCAATTATATATGCAGATGATACAACATAGATTGTAAAAAGCAAAAAATAACTGCTAAAAACCTTAAAGATAGCAGAGGACTTCTTCAAAATAAATGATATTAAGATAAATAAATTTAAATCAAAACTAATTATAATGAATAAAAAAGTTAAAAAAGAAGAAAAAGAAATAAATTTTAGAAAAAGCAAGATAACAAAAGAGCCAAGAAACAAAATAGTATATTTATTAGAAATCTGGCTAAACAACAGAATATAAGAAGTCTTAGTAAGAAAAAAAGCAAAAGAGATAATAAGCCAGACAATAAAAGATCTTAAATATAAGAAGATAATAATAAGCCAGATAGCATATATAAACAATATAGTAATAATACTAAAATTAAGCTCTATGTTACAATTAATAAAGATATTAGAGAAAGAAATAAATGAAATACACCAACTAATAATATGTTTGGCAAAACAAAAAGTGGCTTACCAAAAACACTAGAAAACTGTTTAATAGAATACAAAAATCTTGGTAGTTGCAAAACTCTATGACAAGAACTAATAATAAAATAAATAGAAGGCCTGATAGCAAGACTAAACAGAAAAGATAAACTAGAACAGCTAACAAAATTGAGAATAACAGAGTTGTCAAAGAGCAAGTTTAATAAAAGACATATAGAAAGTAAAAAACTGTTAGAAGACAAGTCATGTTGGAAAAACAATTTAGTCTGTTTGATGATAGCTAAAGCAAAAGAGTTAGAAATAAATATAATAGCAATTTTTTTTGTATATTAGTTTGTGTAACTTCACATACATTAGTTTGGCTTAGCCAATAAAATCATAAGAAATTTATATATCAATTTTTTATTAATATTATATAACTTTATATATATTAGTTTGGCTCAGCTAATAAAATTATAAGAAATTTTATATTTAATTGTTAGGTTTTAATTGGATGCATGTAAGGTGCAATTTGGAATATGAGGTATAATGACCAAATTTATTTTTTTTTTTTTGTATTAAGATAAGGTTTTGCCTTTATATTTGTTTTGGATAACTACATAAGTAAACATAAGCTAAAACCAATTTACAAATTTTTTACAAGAATAAGACTTAGACTATAAACAAAATTATTATCTAATTTTATCTAATTTATTTGCAATCTAAACCTACTAGAGTGGTTAAAACTCATCTAGATTTGATATTGTAAGATGTTATTAGTAAAGGTATTATAGTTTATTCATTTAAATATTTATTTAAATAGTTTTTTATTTGCTTTTTTTTGTAGTAGGCAAATATAGAAGTTGTAGAAATCATCTGTATGCTGTTAGTTTAGAAGTCCACAAGTACAACTATAAATATATAATAGTCAGATTTGTAATAGTAATCTGGTTGAAGTGCTGGAGTTAGTTGGTCAATTATATAGTATTTAATTAAGGTTATTATTTTGCTGTTTCCATTCTGACAGTTTGATACAGTATAGTTTTCAGATTTAGTTATATATATTTTGAGATAGTTGGATTAAAAATTTTATTGTAGTATCAATTGCTAACTGGTTGCTAGAAGTATATTCTTGTATAGTATTAATTAATGTAGTTGGAATGAAGCCTTGTATAGTTGTATATATATTTGTGTAATTTCTAATAAGATTGCTTAGAGAAATACATAGGTAATTAATAAGTTTGTCATGTAGTTTTTGTAATTGTATAGTTATTATATCTAGTTGTGAATTGTTAAAAATTTGATGTATTGTGTTAATAATAATAGAGTTTAGCATATGTGAGTTTGAACATGTTAGCCAATATAAATAACTATCATATGTATTGCATGAAATACAATATTTATCTGAATATATTGTTGGATAAAGAGAGTGAATATGAGATAGTATAGGTAGTATTTCTAGTATAAGTTTAATTTTAAAGGTTTTTTTATAACATAGACTAAAGCTAGTATAAGATATAAATCTTTTGTAATTGTTGTTAAGAAAGAGCCAAGTGGCTTTTCAGTTAATTAGTAAGGATAAAGATAGAATGTTTTCTATTTGATGTTGAAAAAACTACATTGTTATATTATAGGCATTGCTAATGTTTTTAATTGTTCTACATGCAAGTTGCTCTATAGGATATTTGTTATAATAAAGATAATATGATAGATTATATATATTATTGTAAAGAATAGTAAGTATATGTGGTTGGTTTGAGTTTTTGGCTAGTTTGTCAGCTATGTTATTAAATGTATTATTGCTATATGCAGTTACTTTTTGAAAGTTTACTTGAATTTAGTATGCAGTAATAAAGTTAAGTAATATATACCATATTGGCCAATAGTTATAAGAGTATTGTTTGTTAGATGTAGGCAGTGATTGTATAAGTTTGTTATATTTGGAAATAATAGATTGTAAGTCTGTATATATTGTTATAGTGCTTATTTTTAAACAAGTGGTAATTGCAGAAAGAATTGCTATAAGCTTTGCCTTATATGATAAAGGCCAAATTTTAATTTTTGCAGAATATTGGTACAAAATAGTTATATCTTGGATTTGAATCCATCTGATACTCATTTTGCATCTATTATTTGTAATGTTATTTACAGAACCATCAGTATAAAATATGAATTGTAAATGCAGTAAATTGTTTTGCACAATTTGCTGTAGAGTTTGTGCAATCTGATTTTGTGTAAAGATGTCAAATACAGCATTGTTATATATTGTGATATTAGA